TCACCAAACCAGTATTACAATGAATGTTAGAGGGACTTTTTTAAGATGGAAAAAAAGATAAAAAATATGAATAATGGTAATAACTACATATGTATTAACAATTACTGTCAATGTAAATGGATGAAATGCTTCAATCAAAAGACTAAGGGGGAGAGGGTGTGACCGGTTAGCTCAATTGGTTAGGACATCGTGCTGACAACACCAAGGCTGCTGGTTTGATCCCCGCGTGGGCCACTGTGAACTGTGCCCTCCTTAAAACAGTCAACTATGCCATTGTAGCATGAAAGCACTGTGTAACCAATGACCATGGCTGTTCCCCCCCCCAAAAAAATATTAAAAAGCAACTTAAAAAAAAGAAGACATAGGAGGGCTGAAAGGATAAAACCCTTACATAGGCTGCCTACAAGAGACTCACTTCAGATCAAAAGACACTTACAGACTGAAAGTAAAGGAGTGGAAAAAGATATTTCATGACAATGAAAAAAAAGCTGGGGTAGCAATAGTAATGCCCCAAAAAATGGACTTTAAAACAAAGGCTATAACAAGAGACAAACAAAGACCTGGTAATCCCACTTCTGGGTATTTATCTGAAGAAACCCAAAATACTACTTCGATTTTGTGTGTATCCATGTGTTCATTGCAGCATTGTTCACAATAGCCAAGATGTGGAGGCAGCCTGGGTGTCTGCCCATGGATGAATGGATAAAGAGGAGGTGGTACATATATACAATGAAATATTACTCAGTAGTGAAAAGAAATGGGTTCTTGACATCTGCAGTGGCATGGATGGACCTGGAGGATATTGTGTTGAGTGGAGCGTCAGACGGAGAATGACAGATGCAATGTGATTCACTTATATGTGGAATCTAAACAAAATAAATGAACAAATAAAACAGAAACAAACTCATAGATACAGAGGACATTTTGATGGTTGCCAGATGGGAGGGAGTTGAAGGGTATGTGAAAAAAGGGAAGGGATTAACAAGTACAAATTGGTAGTTATGAAATAGTCATGGGGATGTAAGGTGTAACACAAGGAATGTAGTCAATAATATTGTAATAACTATGTATGGTGTCAGTTAGATACTAAATTTATTGGGGTGATAGATGGGTGGGGAGTTGGGGACAGGGTGAAAAAGGTGAAGGGATTAAGAAGTACAAATTGGTAGTTACAAAATAGTCATGGAGATGTAAAGTACAGTGTGGGGAGTATAGTCAATAATATTTCAAAAACTACGTATAATGTCAGGTTGGTACTAGACTTATTGGGAGGATCACTACATAAATTATATAAATGTTTAAGCACTATGCTATACATCTGAAACTAATATAAGATAATATTGAATGTCAACTGTAATTGGAAAAAATAGTCACAGGGATGTAAACATTCCCTACAGCATAGGGAATATAGTCAATAATATTGTAACAACTATATACACTGTCAGGTGGGTAATAATAGACTTATTGGGGTTATCACTTTGTGAGGTATATAAATTTCTAATCACTGTTGTTTTGTACACCTGAAACATAATATTGTATGTCAACAGTAATTAAAAAATAAATTTTAAAAAATAGCAGTTATTGAAATGCATAAACCAACTCAAAACAGCTCTGATGCTTTACATCTAACAAGTCATCTTTCACCACAAACTGTAGGAATGTCAAATTTCAGCTACATTCTTGCCCTGCAAAATCCTTCCAACTTTTCCAAGCACTGAGGCCAGATTTCTTGGTAGAATATTTAATTAAGAGTCCTCAGAAAACTCTAAAAAACATTATTTTTAATTTAGAAGTATATATTTCTACTCTGTTAAAATTATTTGTAATTTATTATTTTTTATGTAAAATGAATTGCTATTGATGTGTACACTTAAATACCCAGAAAAGGGATTCTGTTTCTGGATTGGATTCAGTCCTTGGGAAGGATTCTCCCAATTCACTTTTGGGCTTAGAACCAAGATGTAAGAATGACCATGTTAGTGAAGTAGTTTCAAGGAACATCTTAGAAAAGAGAAGAGCAAGTGAGAAGCTACAAGACATTTGGGCCAAAATGTTTTTTTATAGAAAATAAAGACTTTATTATTTTAGAGAAGTTTTCATTCACAGTAAAATAGAGGAAGATACAGAGATTGTCCCATATACCCCTTGGCCCCCCACATATGTATTCTCCCCTGTTATCAACATTGCTCACCTGAGTCGTGCATTTGTTACAATTGATGTTACAATTACCCACACTGACATATCCTAACCACTCAATATTCATAGCTTACATTACAGTTCACTCTTGGTGTTGTACATTCTATAGCTTGCATAATTTTTAATCTTTTACTCTTGCAAATGTAATGGAAAGAACCTTTTTGTAAATACCTTCTTATGAATATGAGAGTGTTTCCCCAAGGTAGATTAAAATAACTATTACTGGACTCTAGGTTATGTGCATCTTAATTTTTCATAACGTGCAATAAATTGCTGAATATAGTATTTATATCAATTAACTCTCAGATCTGATGGGACTATCCATTTCACCTTGGTCTAACCAATGTTGAATGTTATCTAACCCTGTAGATTTTTCCAATATAATGTCTGCAATATTAGCTTATTGTGTTAATTTTAATTTTTATGATTGCTGTGTATTTATTTGCAATTTGTTTTTCTTTTGCTATTAATTACCTATAATTTTTTTCTTTCTAATATTTTGTTAGCCTTATCATTGAATTTTAAAATGTCTTTGTACAATGCAGATATTAATCTCTTATTAACATTGCAAATATTTTATCTTGTTTTCAGGCTTTCTTAAAAAGTGTTTTTTTGTCATCTACAGACTTTTATTTAAGTAATAAATCTTGTCAGTTTTTTTCTATGCCTTTGGATTTTGATTAAAAGGATGTTGTTAATAAAAATTTAGTTGTAGCCTTTATTTTCTTTTGACATTATCCATATGTTCATACTATTGTCCACTTTTTCTGGTAGAAGGGATTTTCAACATTGGGGATGCCAGAAGAGAATGTAAAACTTTTTGTTAAAAGTTACTCTCTTTCTTTTTTATCATTAGTTTCAGGTGTCCAAAACAACATAATTATTAGACATTTACAGCCCTCACAAAGTGATAATCCCATCAACTCTACCACTCCCCTGACATTGTACATAGCTATTACAACACCATTGAATATATTTCTTATGCTATATTTTACATCCCATGGAAAAAAATATATAATTATAGTTGACATTTGATATTCTTTTATATTAGTTTCAGGTGTACAGCATAGTGTCAACTATAATTGAAAAATTTTTTAAAAGAAAAAATATGTGAAGGGGAATAAGAGGTTCACATTTTCAGCTATAAAATAAATAAATTGTGGAGATGTACAGCATAGGGAATATAGTCAATAATATTGTAATAACATTGTATGGTGTCAGATGGTTACTAGACTTATCATAGTGATCACTTATTTAGGCATATAAATGTTGAATAACTAAGGTGTACAGCTGAAACTAATATTGTATGTTAGCTATACATATTTTTAATTAAAATTTATTGGGGTGACAATGGTTAGTAAAATTGCATAGGTTTCAAGTGTACAATTCTGTACTACATCATCTATATATCACATTGTGTGCTCACCACCCAGAGTCAATTCTTCTTCCATCACCATATATTTGACCCTGTTTACACCCTTCTCCCCACTTAATCTCTGGTAACCACTAAACCATTGTCTGTGTCTAAGAGTTTTTGTTTTTTTGTTTGTCTTGTTCCTTTTGCTTTCAGTTTTATATCCCACATAAAAATTTTTGTCTTGGCCATGTTATCTATATTTTAATAAATTTTTTAAATTAAAGTTTATTGGGGTGACAAATGTTAGTAAAGTTACATAGTTTTAACAAAAATTTTTTAAAGAAAAAAAGTTACTTTCTCTTTACATCTTATATGTTGCTATAGAAATTTTCTTGTTTCTAATAGTGGAAAGGAAGACATCTGTTTTTAGCATCTGCATAATGTAAGGGAGTTTAGAACAGAGTTTCCCAAGCTCAGCATTATTAATATTTGGGGGATGTAATAATTCTTTGGTTGGGGCTGTCCTGTACTTTGTAGAATGTTGAGCAAAATCCCTTGCCTTCACCCACTACATGCCACTTGGTACCTCTTCAGCTGTGAAACCAAAGATGTCTCCAGAAATTGTCTGCCAAATGTTCCCTGGGACAAAATCATCACCCAGGTGAGAGCTGCTGCTCTAGAGCCTTTAACATATTAATCATAGTTATTTAAAATTTAGTGTCTGCTAATTTAAGTCTGATTGTGTTCATTTCTTCATGGGTTGTTCTTTCTTGCTTTTGTTTGTGTTTCATATTTTTTGATTGAATGTTGAACAATGTGTGCAGGAAGGTAGATATTGAGGTATATATTATTTATTACTGGCAATAGGCACACCTTTTCTGCTACGATAATTTTGAGGGATCTTGAGTCTGTCTAGGTGGAGTCATTGCATCCTGGCCTTCACTTTGTTCTAGTGTTGTCATGTTATCTTGTGCTTATCGTGCTCTATTTTGACAGAGGTTTTTTAAAACATTTTTTTCATTTATTTTTATTTTTATGTTGCTCCACCTTTTGCTGTAGACCTTCTTTATGTGATTGCACCTCAGAGAGGGTCTCTCCACATTCTTGCCACTCCCTCAGAGATTCTGTACTCTCATGATTTCCCACATGGCCTTTAGCAATTCATTTAAAAATGTAGGTGAATTCCTCTTTACTATTTGTATAGCATCCAGATTACTTCCTTTCATTCTCCACTATAGGCAATTCAGTGCCCCTGGTAGTCTCTCATTGGATGAACCTGTTTTTCATTAGATTTTTAGGCTACTGTTACCTCAGCTGTCTTGTGAATTCAAGAAAATGAATGATTTTGTAGTTACTATGGATTTTTCTTACTGTTAGGTTAGAAGAGATACTCGTTTGCATTTTTTATTTCCTAGAAAGAAATACAGATCCCCTGTATTTTCTTCTGATATTTAAATAAATTTATTTTATTTTTAATTTAAATCTATTACCACATAGTCATGTAAATTCAAAGTTTCATAAAATATCTATTTATAAAACATTATTTGCAGAGTAAAAGCATTTGAGCTGGACATCTAGGAATTTATTATGGTATTACTTTAATGATTTAATAACTAATTAATACATTTGTTTACTTTTCTGACACATCTTTTTACCCTTTTTAAACATAGAAAGAATTTGGAAGAATGATAAAAATAAACACTCAAATACCCTCCATCTGGATTCAATAATTATCAACATATCGTTACATTAAAACCTTTCTCAATTTACATACACATATACATTTTCTTGCTGGAACATTTGATAGTCATCAGGTGACATCATGAAACTTCAATAATTCTTCAACAAATATTGAAGCATTTAAAGAATATTCCTTATATAACCACAATACTATTATCATTCCCAAGAGAATTAACAAACATTTCATAATAACTTTTAATGCTTAATACATATTCAAATTATCCCAATGGTCTCCAAAATGTCATTTATAACTATATATCTGAACCAGATTCTCAGCAAAATTGACATTGAATATGATTTTATATAATTTTTCTCTATTTTAATGTAGGGAAGACTCTAGTCACTTTTAAAAATGATAATGACTTTAAAAGTGTCCAAACTAATTGGTTTGTTGAATGCCCCATGCTTTTAGTGGCCATATGGGATATTGAATAAAATCATGATTTTTCTCATTTTATCATATCTTTTACATTTATTGGCTGATATTTTAAGTATCACTATGGATGCATGGATTTTAAATTTTAATATGTTGTAATCATTTATAGTAATTTTCTTTGATGTTCAAATTGATTCAAATTTGGTAAGTGGGACCTCAAAGGGAATTTCTTTTAAGCGTAACTGCTCTGGATTTAGCTCTTTTGTAGATCACATGCCGAGGATGAAATAATATGTTTTGTACAAGTACATGCTACAAAATGTGCAGTAGCAATATACACCTTTTCCTACAGATCACATTATAAATTATAAAGATGTAGACGTTCTAGTCATAGAGATCTGATTTTACTCTAACTAAAGAAACTAGGTTTTTTTTATTTCATGTAAGCTCTATGAAATCAGGAATTAAATCTGTTGTGAGCTGAATGCAGCACATGGTGAGTAATAAAAACATAATTTTTGAGTAAGTAAATCAGTAAGTTTTTATGAATGAAGAGTGAAGAAAGTGAGGCATGTAGATAGGGGTAAACAACAGTCCTTGTTGCCTGGCACTGAGGAGTTGCCTGGGACATAGGACTTTCAGTGTTAAAACTAGGAATGTCTTGGGTAACTGGAATTAGTTGTTTACCCTATATGCAGGTATTGGAACATTACATTCCTCTCTTATGCTATTTTAAGAAAGTCATTTGAGTATTCCTTAGTAAATATCTTCGACTTGAGGAACACATTTGTATACAAAAAGGTTGAAGTAGAGGGCTTAACCCAAGGCAACTGGAGAATTGGGTCATAGTTTTTTTGACTGTGCTGAGAGTGAGCTGAGCATACTGTATAGACCAGAAAACCCAAATTCTTCAGCAACTGAATGTCAAACTTTCTCCCACAATGGTGTCATGAAGAGTTACTTATAACAAACATGAAGAAGTATTTTTTATACTCTTTGCCCAAAAAATGATAGTTCAGAATTTTCCTCATTTTCCAGGAGACAAGACCATCTGGTGTAGCTGTTCATTATAATTCTTCCTGAGAAAGAAGGTGTAAAAATGATACTGTGTTCAAAAATGCAACATTCGTACACTGGAAACAATAAGACATTGGTAAAGAAGTCAAATAACCTAAAGAAATGGAAAAACAACTCATGTTCATGAATCGGAAGTCTTAATATAGTTAAGACGGCAATACCCCTCCCCAATTGGTCTACAGACTCAACACAATCCTTATCAATATCTCATTTAAATATTTTTCAGAAATTGGCAAGCACATCTTAAAATTTATATAGATCTTCAAGGGGCACAGAATAGCTGAAACAATCTTGAAAAAAAATTTGTAGAGTCAATCCCCCAATTTCAAACTTGATACAATATAGATTAATAGAAGAGAGTCAAGGGTCTAGAATTAAACCACTGTATTTATGGTGTATTAATTTTGACAAGGGTCGAGACAATTCATTGGGGGATAAAAAATAATATTTTCAATAAATGATGACAGGATAACTGGATATCTATATATAAAAGAATGTGCATCTCACATCATATTAAAAAACCTCACACCATTTAAAAAACTAATTCCAAATAAATAATATACCTAAACATAATAGCTAAAACTATAAAAATCTTGAAAGAAAACATATCTGTAAATCTTTGTGGCCTTGGGTTAGGCAATTCTTTAGATATGACACCCAAGGAACAAGTGAACAAAAAAATAGAAAACAACTTTTGTACATCAATTGATACTATCAAGAGAGTAAAAGTCAAACCATGGAATGGGAGAAAATAATTGCAAATCATATAACTGATAAGAAACTTGTATTCAAACATATAAAGCATTCTCACAGCTTATCAATGAAAGACAAATGACTCAATAATAAAGGATTTGACTAGATATTCCCCCAAAGAAGATATGCAAATGGATAATAACCACATGAAAAGATGCTCAACATCATTAAATATTAGGGAAATGCAAATCAAAACCATAATGAAAAACTACTTCATTGGGGCAGCCGGGTGGCTCAGTTGGTTAGAGCACATGCTCTGGACAACAAGGTTGCTGGTTTGATTCCCGCATAGGATGGTGGGCTGCTCTCCCTGCAACTAGATTGAACATGGCGACTGGACTTGGAGCTGAGCTGCACCCTCTACAGCTAGATTGAAGGACAACGACTTGACTTGAAGCTGATGGGTCTGGGAAAAAACACACTGTTACCCAATAAAAATAAAAAATAAAGTAAAATAAACACCTTTTAAAAAAAACTAATTCACACACCCTAAGGTATAAGAAAGAAAAACAATAACAAGTTTTGGGGGGATGTGGGGAAACTTGGAACCTTCATATATTTTGGTCTTGCTCCTAGGGACAATTGGAAAGAATTTGGAGGATTTTTATGCAAGTGGCACACGATCAAATTTTTGTTTTGAAAATATAACTCTGAATTTTACGTGGCAGACTATTGGAGGAGTGAGGAGAGTAGATGAGGAGACCACTTAGGAGGATATTGCAATCCAGCCAAGGAAAGAGGTCAGCTGAAATTAGGGAAAAGGTGATGGTAATAGAGATGATGTCAATAGGGTATATTTGTGAACTACTGAAAAAAATTGTGGCACAATTTAGCAATGGATTGGTTTGGGGTGGAACAGGATAGGGACAGGATAAGTTCCCTGATGTTCCAGGTACAAGGAAATAGATGGAGATGCCACTCAAAGAGATGAGAAACTCTGAAGAGGATTAAGATGGTGGAATTTATCATTGTAAATTTTGTTATGAATATGTTGGGCTGCTCCTGAGAAATCTAAGGAGAAGGGTCACGTAGGCAAATGGAAATAGTGGTGTGAGGCTCATAGATAATTTAGGGCTACAGAAATATATTTGGCCATCATTTCCTTCTGCATGGCGCATTCAGCTTATGTAGACAAGATTGCCTATGAGGAAGGTATAAATGAGAATAGTAATGTTTCCAGAATCAAGACAGGTACAGTAGTTGAAATGTAAAAGAGATGAAGGAAGCTCAGCTAGAGAGATAGCAAAAATTCCAAGGGGTGTTGACACAGAGGAACCAGGGACACATGTGGAATATTTCAAAATGGAGGAAGTAACCACAGCATCCATTCCTGCTAAGAGGACAGAAGATATTTGTCAGTGGAGGTCATTGGAGGCTTAAGAGAGAGGTCTCTTGGTGGAATAATGGAGATAAAATACAGTTTTGAGTATGTAGAGAAAGACAGGAATGAATACAATTTTTAATATTAATAATTTTTAATAAGAGAGACTTAGTCTCTTGAAATTAAAGTAGGAAAAACGCTGCTGCAAACAGGAGTCTGAATATACTAGAGAGAGATTGTAAGAGCAATGATATAAATTTGTTGAGAAGTCAGGAGGGCTCAGAACCAAAGTGTAGGTGGAAGGATTAGCCTTAAAAAGTAGGAAGCACATTTTGTCTGTGGTAACAATATGGAATGAGGGAAGAATGAAGCAGATGCCAAATGCCTGGTGTTTCAAGAGCACAAAATTGACCTAGTTTCATCCTGCTGACTTATATTTTCTCTGTGAAGGAGTTCGTAGGAATATCCACTGGGAAGAGGAAAGAATTAGAAGGATGAGACCTTCAAGGAGTAGACGGTTTGTGAAGTAGTAGTTATAGAGGGTAAACAAGCAAGTGGGTTAGACAAATGCAGAAAGCTTGCCAGGCAGGGGGGCAGGGGTGGGTGGGCACAGTGAAGCTGGGGGAATGTTGAAGAGGATAAAGTCATTGCATGATTCATGTAAACCCCATGAGTCTCACTTTCTTTATCTCCAAAAGGGAACTTCAAAATACTTACCTCCAAGTGCTGATGTGAAGAACATGTGAACAAAAAATACAAAAGGTTTGTAAACCTGAACATAAAAATGTTTGGTATGATCCACACTGCCGGGATCCTGCCCCTGTCCTCTGTAATTACCCTTCCTGACTTTTTGGTGTGTATATGTGCTGAAAATACCAGGAATGACTGCAGAATTAAAAAAAAAGTCAAATCAAACAATACTTATTTCACTTAAGTTTTACGACTATATCATGCATTTATGTTCTTTCTATAGTGGGGTGGCTTAGGATGATTTAGGATAAAGGATGGTGCTGTGACTCTGAGAAGATTGAGCACCATTGCTTCAGATCATTAGTTCCTGCTTGTTGGGCTTGCTTATGAGGAAGTGCTTTGTATCCTCTCACCAAGTAAAATTAAAAACCACATGCACCAGGGCCGGCCGAGTGGCGCGATGGTTAAGAACTCGCTTGGGATGCCAGAGGGCCCCGGTTCGGATCCCACATATGAGGGCCAGTGACACTGCCCTCCACAGCTAAGATGCTGAACAACAGCTCAACCTGGAGCTGGGCTGCCATGAGTCGCCGGCGACGGCGTAGGCTGCAGTCCCTGTGGCAGTGGATTGCCATGGGCTACCGTGTGTGGCCAGCAGCCAGCGTGAGCGGCCAGCAGCCGCAGTGAGTGGCTGTCCAGAAGCCGGCGACTGATCTGCCTCACCAGGGAAGAGCGCAATGATGGTGCCAACTTGGGCCAGTGAAGCAACATCCTCCACATCTAGAGTGAAGAACAAAACGACAGCAACTTGTCTGTTCCCCTTCCTCCAATTCCCCAGCACTGTTCCCATCCCCCCAATTCCCCAATAAAAATCTTTAAAACAAACAAACAAAACCACATGCATCATGTTGCACAAAGATGGTGCTCTGCATGTGTGGGGAATGAGAAGATAGTCACACGTAAGGGTCAGGCGAGCATAAAAACACGGTGAATGAAAGTAGGCAAGACCTTCTTTCATGACAGGGAAATGCCTAGATTTAGTCCAGAAGTCAATCCAGTGGGCATCACCTACGATACACCCAGGTTGTCCAATGTGATCAACAGAAAGTATTCAGTGGATCAGTTAGTGAAGTGCTCTGGGATCTACGCATAATCTTACCATGCTAGGTTTGGAGTCATCAGACATGGCCCTGCTGGAGAGGGTGTACTTTTCAGACTCAGCTTTGGTTTTCTTGACCCCTTTCAACCATTTCCTGTATTGCTCCCGGACCTGCAGAGGCAAAGCACGCTGAGTCAGCTCACTGAGAGGAGTGAGGAGGGAAAGAGTCCTGAGAGGGAGTCGGACAGTGGTACCTGCTGGCTGAGGAGGCAGTACACCAGGAAGATGAAGACGCCCTGCAGACTGTTGATGATGGTGAAGAGGTAGGCCATGGCGCGGGCAGCTGGGCCCACCTGCAGGATGCCCAGACACCACGTGCAGCCCAAGATGAAGAGCTGAGCTGTTGCTTTAAATGTCAGCATCCTGGGTAGGAGGAGAAGGGGGGCACGTGGTGCACCCAGAACAAGAGAATCAAGGCCATTTTCATCTCCACTTTATGGACGCCTCTGACTAAGCAGTGATCAACTTTGGTCTTTACCCTCAATGATGCCCTCAACAGAAATACTATTTGGGTCCACGATGGCATTTTGACTTGGACTGAGGATGGTAGTGACACTCCACGATGTGGGTTTCAAAAATATTATGATGTTTCATGAATGTCCCTAATTTTATTTACCTGACATTTCTGAGGACCATCTGTGTACCTGACTCTGTGCTGGGTCCTGGGCATTAAAAATAACAAAGACAAGATTTCTGTTTTCATAGACCTTACAGTCCAGTGGAAAGGCTAAAACAAATGGTCTTTTATAACATGTGTGAGGTACCTCTGCTTGGGTCCCATCCTATATTGTTCCCATCTTCTCACTCTCTATGAACTGACTCAGGGCATGCTTTGCCCAAAACAGAAGCCATTCATTCTGTGGAAAGTTGAGGGAAGCAAAGGACGTCCCTAGTCTATTAAGAGACGTGATACCTGGATGAGGCATCTGATTCCACCAGGTGGAGGAGTGGAGAGGGCAAAGGGAAGAGCATCCATGAGGGTGTGAGTGTGAATGGGCTCTGGGGACGCTGATGCGATTGCCTAAGAATGTTATAAAGATGTAAATGTTTTTAAGAAGTTTTTCAGAGGACCATGGAAGTAATTTCTCTTTATCAAGACAATGTCAATTCTCTCTGAAGCTGAGGTAGTTTCATGCTGGGGTTATGCAGGAATGAAATGTTTCTGGCTTGGGTGTCAGCAGCCAACCACAGTATCTGAGCTGGTTTCCAGGGAGGGCGGCTGCACCTCTCTCCTCCAGCCCCATTAGAATCCCTGTGAAAGGACATCAGGAGCTTGGAACCGTGTGGCCTTGCTCCTGGACCATGCCTTGTAGGGGGCAGTGTGCCCCTCTGACCCATCTCACCTCGTGTTCTGGAGGGTGGACACATCACTGTTGAGTGAGGAGAGCTTGTTTTTCAGAATCCAGAAGGTCATCAGAAAGAAAGCCAAGTTAATCTGCAGAAACCCCACAGGCTTACTGAATACATTCCACATCTTAAACCTTAGTCCTAACTCATTCAACACCTGAACTACTGGTAAGAAACTTTCGTATTTCATATCAGTCATAGAAAAACAGACCAAACCTCCAGTAACCCAGGCACCTTCTTATCCTGTAACGGGTGACCAAATCGTCCCAGTTTGCATGGGAGTTTCCAAGTTTTAGCACTGAACACCCAACATCTCAGGAAACATCTTCAGTCCTCCTTTAAAACTGAAATTGTCCCTCTTGTTCGCCCCCTCAGTCCTTAGCAGACTGGAACAATTGCTCTCCCTGCATGTAGCCCTCCTTATACACCTGCTCTGACTGACCCCCAGCCAGGCAGGAAGGATGCTCTGATGTCACCCGTTACTCACAGAGAAGATGGTGCAGACGGGGCCAAGGAAAGTCCATATAAATCCTTTGTGTGTATGGAGCCAGCATCTATGAGAGAGATGGAAAGAAACTGAAGGGTGTGTTTGCCTTTGTGGATAAAGAATCAATAAATAAACATATCCCTTTTCTCCCATTCTTCCCCCTGCCTCCTTTATTATTAATATTAGTTACTTTTTTTAGTAAGAACCTTTAACCTGAGATCTACTCTCTTAGTCAATTATAAGTATACAATAGTTAGTTATAAGCACTATGCTATATTGATTTCTCAAACTTATTTATCTTTCATAATTAAAACTTTGTGTATGCCCTTGATGGTGGTAACAATTTCATGGGAGTATATGCATCTCCAAACTTATCAGGTTCTACACATTAAATATGCACAGGTTTTTTTTTCACCTTAAACAGCAACATATTTATTTTTTCTACAATATCATCTGACTTTATTTTTTAAATTAAATTTATTGGGGTGACATTGGTTACTAAATTATACAGGTTTCAAGTGTACATTTATATAAAACATCATCTTTATATTGCTTTGTGCGTTCACCACACAAGTCAAATTGCCTTCTGTCAGCATATATTTGACTCTCTTTACACTCTTCTACCACTTGTTACTTCCCTTTCCCTCTGGTAACCACTAAACTGTTGTCAGTGTCTATGAGTTTTTGTTTGTTTGTCTTGTTCATTTGTTGCTTTCAGTTTTATTATACCCCACATATCAGTGAAATCATATGGTTCTTGACTTTTGCTCTCTGGCTTATTTTGCTTGGCATGATGTTTTCAAGATTCATCCAGGTTGTTGCAAATGGCAGTATTTCATCCTTTCTTTTGGCTTAGTAGTATTCCATTGTATATATGTACCACATCTTCTTTATCCAATCACCTATCAAAGGACACTATGGTTGTTTCCATATCTTGGCTACCATGAATAATGCTGCAAAGAACATAGGGGTATATATATCTTTATGGATCATTGTTTCCATATTTTTTTGGGTAGATACCCAGAAGAGGGACTGCTGGGTCATAGAGTAAGTCTATTCTTAATTTTTTTAGGAACTTCCTTACTGTTTTCCATAGTGGCTGTACAAATTTACATTCCCACCAACAGTGTATGAAGGTTCCCTTTTTTTTCATAACCTCTTCAACACTTGCTATTCCTTGTCTTGTTGATAATAGTCATTTTAACTGGTTTGAGGTGGTAGCTCATTGTGGTTTTGATTTGCATTTGCTAGTGAATGCAAATGATTGAGCATCGTTTCATATATCTGTTGGCCTTTCATATGTTTTCTTGGGAGAAGTATCTGTTCAAGTCGTCTGCCCAATTTTTAATTGGATTGTTTGCTTGTTGCTGTTGTTGAGTTGTATGAGTTCTTTATATATTTTGGATGTTAAAATATGGATATAATAAAATATGGATATAAAATATGGATATAAAAGATATGGAATATCTTTCTTTTTGTTTGTGTCTTCTTCAGTTTCTTCTAATAACGTCTTGTAGTTTTCAGTGTATAGATCCTTCACATCTTCTGTTAAGTTATTCTTAGGTATTTTATTCTTTTAGTTGCAATTGCAAAAGGAATTGTTTTTTCATTATTTTCTGAAATTTCATTGTTAGTATATGAAAATGCAATGGATTTTTGTACATTGATTTTGTATCTTGCAACTTTATTGTGTCTGTTTATCGTTTCTAATAGTTTTTTTGGAAAAGTCTTTAGGGTTTTCTATATAAAAAATCATGCTGTCTGCAAAAAGTGACAATTTGACATCTTCATTCCCAATTTGAATGCCTCTTATTTCTTTCTGTTTGATTGCTTTGGCTAGGACTTCCAACTGTGTTGAATAACAGTGGTGCGAGGGGACACTCTTGTCTTATTCCTGATCTTAGAGGAAAACCTTTCAGTTTTTCACCATTAGCTGAGCGTTTGTTATATATGGCCTTTATTATGTAGGGGTACTTTCCTTCTATACCCATTTTATTAAGTGTTTTAATCATAAATAGATGTTGTATCTTGTCAAATGCTTTTTCTGCATCTATTGATATGATCACAACATTTTTATCCTTTATCTTGTTTATGTGGTGTATCATATTGATCGATTTGCCTTATGTTGAATCATCCTTGCACCCCTGAAATGAACTCCACGTGGTAATGATGTATAACCTTGTTAGTGTATTGTTGCATTCGATTTCCTGGTATTTTGTTTAGAATTTTTACATCTGTATTAATCAGATATATTGGCCTGCAGTTTTCTTTTTGTGTGTTATCCTTACCAAGTTTTGGTATCTGGATAATGTCGACCTCATAAAATAAGTTAGGAAGTATTGCCTATTCTCTCATATTTTGGAAAAGTTTGAATCATCTTTGAATCATTAAATCATTATTTAAGTATTAAATCATCTTGAATGTTTGGTATAATTCAGTAGTGAAGCCATCTGGTCCCAGACCTTTGATTTTTGATAAGTTTTTGATGATTGTTTCAATTTCCTTGCTGTTAATTGGTCTATTTAGATTCTCCAGTTCTTCATGATTCAGTCTGGAAAGGTTATATATTTCTAAGAACTTGTCCATTTTTCTAGGTTATTGAATTTGGTGGTATATATTCTTTCATAGTATTCTTGTTTGATCCTTTGTATTTCTTTGGTATCTGTTATAACTCCTCTTTCATTTCTGATTTTTAAAAAATTGTGTCTTTTCTCTTTTTTTCCTCACTGAATCTAGCCAGGGGTTATGTACAGCTTTTTACATGTAGGTCTCAACTTAATAAATTGGTTTTAAAAAATTTTAATTCTCTCAAAATATCTATTTTAATTCTTAGCCCACAGAAATAAACATCAATGTTTTAATTAAAAAAAGATTTGATAAGTTAATTTATGGTTTAGTGGATGAATATTATGTCTCCTCTATATGAGAGTCTGTGATTGTCTCTGAGGACCCAATTATGATTAACATAGGCTGGATTCGGTCTTTAGAAATGTGGGAAAGTCAACAATTAGATAATAGTAACAATCAAGATGATGAATTTTATGATCAAATATGAGGAGCTATAAGTACATGAAGCTGGATCCATAACAGTCTGGGGTATAGAAGATTCAGATAGTTTGCAAGGGTTCCCTGAGGGAACTGATTATGTTTATGCTGATATATGAAGGATAAGTAGTTGTAAATAAGGTGAAAAAAATTGAGACATGAAAGAAGAAATAGAAAAAAAGTAACAGTAACCGAAAGAGTACTAAGTCAGGGTTCATTTGCATTACATAACTTGTTCCTCATAACAACATAGGGACTCAGTTGACCACATGTCAGCATCTGATGCTTAAGGAAACAGAGTTAGTAAGTCAAGGTCACATTGATAGAAATGACAGAATTGGGGCTTGTCACTGACATGGGAGGTGTGAGACCATGGAGAGAGTTAGATGGATCTACCAGAAGAGTCAAAGAGAAGCTACTAAGACAATGTTGGTAAACCACAGCCTGTGGGCCAAGTTGGGTTGCCACATGATTCTGTAAATGTGTTTAACTAGAACATGGTGATACTCATTCCTTTCCATAATGTCTGTGGTTGCTTTTGTGCTACAAGTACAGAGGTGAGTAGTTGCAACAGAGACCATATGGCCCACAAAGCTGAAAAGATTTAGTATTTGGCCCTTTACAGATAAAGTTTGCTGACTATTATGCTAAGTCATTTGGCCAGGGCTCATCCAATGCAGGTGAAGATTAATTTTATCAGCATAGGAAAATGATGTGAACACCAGACTGTGTGGATTTGATCCCAGCTCTGCCACCAACCAGCTGTGTGATCTTGACCATGCTAGTAATTTCTTTGCCTCAATTTCCTCATCATATAATACTAGTTTCTACTTCAGAGGGTTGTTGGGAGAATGATTTGAGATGATAAATGAAAAATATTTAAAACAGTGACTGCGTGTCAGAAGTTACTTATAAATCTTACTTTCGGTAATAATAATTATTCACCATCAAAATCATCCTTCATTTCTTTTAAAATTAGAAGAAATAGATTACACAAACCAATGCCATCCCTTTATTTCGATTTTGCTTTCTAGAAGATATGAAACTGTCTCTTCAGTGGGGGGGATGAGTGAAAAAACTAAGGGGAATGTAGTCAATAATAATGTGATAAATTTGCACAGTGACAGATGATTACTAGAATTAGTGGGGTGATCACATTGTAAGGCGTAAAAATGTCTAATCATTATACTGTACACCTGAAACTAATATAACTAATATTATATTGTATAAGAACTATCTTAAATAAATAAACAAGTAAAAACCAAACAAAAGTCTTCTTAATTAATGCAATAAATATTTAATATACATTTACTAATATACAAGATGAAATTAATTTTATACCAAGTCATTAATATAATATAAAATTAATATATAAAGCAATTAAATCTAAAAGTTCAAAAATTATCACCTCAATTATTTTAAGTATATATTAATTTATAATCATTAGTAATCATTAAAATTATATTGGTGTATTGTTAATATTATACTCAATGCTATATAAATATATAACTATTAAATATTTTATATAATTAATATTTAAACAATTAAATCTCTAGGACTTAAAAACGGTTACTTGAATGAAGATAATATTCCACCAGAAAGACGTCTTTGGAGTGATTACTGAGTGTTTCTCTATTCATCATATTTTTGTGAAATTAAAGCACTACATTGGTTTCTTTGCTGGCCATGGTCATGTGGTGAAGACAAAGACAGTGGGAATTTGCACTTACCGGTTGGGCGTTCCATATAGGTGAGGTCTGGATGCTGCCGAAATGGCCACAATCACAGCCGGGACTCCGTAGCCCACAGGGAACATGAACTTCTTCATGAACCTGCTCACGCTGGAGTAGTTGACAACCATCAGGTTGCGTGCAGTGAGGAAGAGGTGCAGGCCCTCCAGCAGCATCCAGGTGAAGGAGGCCAGGTAGAGGTAGTGTAAGGCACCCGCGATGATGGTGCACAGCACCTGGGGGAGAAGTGTGTCCCAGGACCTCTCCTACACCTTGCCATTGGGGAGAACTCTGATGTATGTGAAGAGGTTGTTAGAAGAGAGTTTGTCTTCTAGTTGCCTCACTTAGTGTGAAAGTAGCTATTCACCGCTCTAACCTTCCCGCAACCCAAGACCATTTTATTAAGGTGTCAATGCAGCATGGGCCCATGAACTCCACATCATCTGGGCAGGGCAGGGGGTCTTTTGGGACAGAGTCAGTACCTTGGGCTCAGTTCTGTCGATGGCCGTGAGGAAGAGCAGGTGAGCCAGGAAAAGGCAGAGCGAGAGCTGCAGGTGGAGGGAGGTGCTGGTGTTCTGGATGGCTTTGCACAGCAGGAAGGTGAGGGCCGCCAGGAGGAGGCACAACAGAGACAGGCTCAGCCCCACATAGGTGATCACAGCCAGGGCGGGGTCCTCCTCCTGGGACCCAATGAAGAGAGATCATAGTCACACTTTCCTGCTCTGGAGTAAAATTGTGCTTTTCAAAGTACACAGACTAGAATGGCAAAACAAACAAACAAAAAACAATAGTGCCAAGTGTAGGCAAAATGGAACACTTGGAACTCTCATATACTGCTAAATGAGAATGTAAAAGGTAACATCTGTACTGGAATGGAATTTGGCAGTTTCTTATAAAGTTAAACATATACTGACTATATGACCTGACAATTACATTTCTGAGTATGTACCCAAGAGAAATGCAAATAAGTGTTCACAAAAAGAAAGTTTAAGAATGTTCATAGTAGCTTTAATCATAATAGCCTGGACTGAAAACAATGCAAATATCCTTTAATTGATGAACAGATAAATTGTGGTGGAGTCGTACATTGGAATGCTCTAGAGCATTGAAAAGGAGTGAACTATGGTTACACACAATATAACATAGGAGAATCTCATAGACATTATGTTGAACAAAAGAAGCCAGACATAAAAGAGAATGATTCTATACTACTAAATTATTCTAGAACAGTCAAAATTAAACTACGGTGATAAAAATCAGATCCATGGTTTCCTGGGAGCGTGGACAAGAGCATTGACTGAGATTGGAATGGACTTTCTGGGGTTATAGAAAGGGTCTATCTCTCAACTGGGGTTGTAGCTACATGGTGCTTATTATTGTCAAAACTCATGAACTGTATAATTATAATTTGATTTTTTTGCAAATATACTGTACCCCAATAAAGTCAATTAAAAAATGAATCAGTTGAGGATCTGATGTCTAGAAGGGAGCTAGAGCTCCTATGACCAACTTATCTACTCAGTGGTACTCATGTAATATAAGTCCAGACAATTAAGTTTGTGAACTCATCCTAGAAAAAGTGCTACATACATCATTGCTGAATATCACTATGGTCACCTTTGAATTATTGGGTCGTTGGGAAATTCATGACACATTTTTGCTTTGAAAAACATAGAAAAATACGTCATGACTTTCACGATGACCCAATACTTCCCTTGGGAAGCTATGCACCAATGCCAGCGCCTAGTCCACCTTCAAAGCAATTTTGGAACTCTTTCTGGAATGGCCACCAGAGCTGTCATTGTATTACCCTTGATGCCCTGAATGTCATCAAAATGTCTTCCTTTTAATATTTCCTTTATCTTTGAGTAAAGAAAGAAGTCATTGGGTGGGGGCATAGTCATTTGTTTACTGGATAAAAACTCCCTCACAGACAGTGCCATGTGAGCTGGTGCATTGTCATGATGCAAAAGCCATGAATTGTTGGTGAAAAGTTCAGGTCATCTAACTTTTTCATGCAGTCTTTTCAGCACTTCCAAATAGCAAACTTGGTTAACTGTTTGTCTAGTTGGTACAAATTCACAATGAATAACCCCTCTGACATAAAAAAAAGTTAGCAACATCATTGCAACAAGTTCAGGAATTTAATTGTCAGACCTCCTTCAAGGGTAGCTCTCCTTCAAGACACTAAGCGTCTGAACTCATAAAAGTTGTATTTGACCCTGAAATTTGTGCATCACTAAGCTTATTAGGTTTACATGTTGCTTTCCTAGAAGTGATGCTCCATTTTAGCCCGATTTCCTACCCACCCCAGTTACCTGAAGTCACCTTCATGAGTATTTGTATTTGCTAAGCTGAAAAAGAATAATATTCCTGGGGTGAGAAAAATAAGATGAACCACAAAAGCATAAGCATTTATCTGTCTCTCTTCTTCTCCTCCCATCTTTCCCCATTCTAAATTTAAGTATTTTTCAAGTTTTAAAAGAAACGCTTGGCTAAAAAAAAAAGTCAATTATTTTGGTATTGAAGATGGTGGCCCAAAGTTTGTGTGTATGCATGTAAACACACACACACTCACACACACACACACACACACACACACACACCTCTTCTTGGAAATAATCCAAATGCCAGAAATAAAAACATCATTTCAATTTTCTGTGAAACTATAGAACAATTGGAAGAGATGCTAAAATTAAAGAAGATTGACTAGAGGTTCACATGGAAGGAAAACGGAATAATCTGTTTCATGATTATAATAGAGGGAATGATGCAGGCAGGAGTTTCCTTATATCAATTGGTTTGAAGATTCAGAGGAGTTGAAGCTATGTGTATTATTGCACAAATAGACCATATTTGCAGAAAGAAATTTGACTGCCTGTGGAGGAAAACAGATTTTGCTCATGAAAGCTTCACTAGTGACATTTCATTTTGTTTGGATACATGTTAAAAATTCACATAAAAATCTCTGTGCTAGATTGTAATATAGCCAAAACCATGTTTTCACAGAAATGTCTTGACAATAACTCCTCCAGGAACCATCTGCTTTAAAGATAAGTAATCAGAAGAAAAAACCACAATATTTATACAAAATATTACAAGAAAAAAAAGAGGAAGGGAGACTCACCAAATAACTGTTACCATAGAGCAAATAAAAGTTGTGATATTATTTACCATGAATATGTAAGGAAGAACTTGCTTTTATAAGCAAGAAGCAAAAGCAGAAGTGAAAGATTTCAGAAAAGAGAGGTCTTATGAAATTTTGTATGAGAAAAGCTAAGTAAATAAATGGCAGGGAAAAAATTCTACAGTAATAAAGGCAACATTTAAGGAAGTTGTATTAAGAATAGATCTTGATGGAAACACAGCTTGAGGAACATAGAGAACAGAAATAGAAAAAATAAATTAGCAAAATTAGCATTAAAAAAGAGGTAGAAAAGAATCAGAGGAAAATCACAAATATGGGCATTAAGCAAAGGAGCGCCACAATATGCATAATTGAAGTCTTCAACGAAGAAAACCAAATTAATGAAGAGAGCAAATACTGAAAAATAGATTTCAAGACATCATTTTCAAAAATAAAAGAAAAGTTGAATTTATACCCTTAAACACCTTGCCTGGGTGGATGCGGGGAATAGCCAAGAATGATAGTACTATTACCAAACTTTAAAATGTAAAGGAATCCACTAAGTAGCTATATAAATGTGTTGAAATGTGGCAATAGCTATCAAAATTGTAACTACAAATTTCACCCATCATTGTTATTGCAACAAAGTAGAAGCCAAATATTGAAAAGAAAATGTTTATCATTTGAGACTTGTTAGAGTATAGAACATCCATAAATGGAAAGCTATACAGATGTAAAAATGAATGAGAAAGTTCTTTTATGTGCTGGTATAGAACATCTCAAATATTTTAAGTGAAAAAAATGCATGAGAGTGAATGGTATGCAATGGCTTGATTGAAAACAAAATTGTATATTATGTGTATGTGCTTGTTTATACATAAAATACTTCTAAAAGGATTCAGAAGAAACTGATATTTTTTCTAAGAAAGGCCCTGATCACTGAGGAATATGGGTGGGAATAAGACTTTTCAATGTTACCCTTTCTGTTTCTTTTGAGTTTTAAACCATGAAAATATTTTTATCTCTTCAAAAATTTAAATTAGGAAACTTGCACCATGCACTCTATTCTATAACAAAGTGTCATGAAGAAACACATTTTTTGAGGGGGGGAGGATTGAGTTTTTCTGGATTCCCATAAAGTCTGGCCATTTAGTTAAGAGTTTTCATTCTTATATCCAAGTGTATGCCCATTACCTGAGGTAACCTGGGTGAATCTCAATTCCTGGTGAACCCACAAAAGAAGCAACCATATTGCCTGGCCAGGAGAGAAGGATAGTTTGGCTGTTGATGCAACTGCTCTTACTGGCTCCCCTCTGACCTCTCTTATCACATCTCCTTCTGGTCCCTGCAGTTCCAAGCATTCCTATTTCATGGTCCTTCTCGGAGCTCTCACCTGCACATCGTACTGGGCCATGAGGACAGCAAAGCTGCTGAGGTGGGTGCATTGACAGGTGGTGCTGGTGTTTCTGGTGCCCACCATCCAGCAGCCTGTGGTGGCCCAGTGACCACATCCATCCTGACCACGTTCCCAGAAGACACAGAGCACCTCCTCCTTTGGCCCAGAGATTACCAGCTGTAGGAACAGGGCACAGGAATGAGCTAATTAGTGGCTCTGGTGCTCAGAGATGCTGAGTCAAAGATGACTCAGGAAAGGCTGACTTTCCTGGAAAAAATGATGCACCTGTAGACGAGGCCCCCTGAACTGCAAGGCTGAGATGAGCAGCAAGGCTGTGCCCAGGATTCAGTCTCGTTCTGTACCCACAGCCCCATCCCACCAGCACTCACATTATGGGAGAAACTGAAAGTGACTGGGGAGCTGAGGTTCTGGGTGTCCTTGTTGCTCAGAAAGGCAGAGTTGACATCTGAGAGCAGGACAGGGGAGACTCTGTGCCACAAGCCCTTGTATGTCTCATGCAGAACTGCCTGCTTCTTAGGCTCCAGGACCAGGGGGGCCTCAGCCAGCAACTTGCTCATCCCTGGAATGGAGACAAGGCCCACCACAGAAGGGCCTGCAGGACGAGGCCAAGGTTGACATCTCGGGTTCACCACCAGGACTCCTTCCTCCTCACATGGACTCTCCCTAGTGGCCCTACCCATTCTGCACTTTATTTTAATTTTTAATTCTCTGTGAGTCACATCCTGGATGTCTTCTCTCATGGCAAGTTCTCAGTGGCCTTCCCCTCCCCATCTCAGTCATTACCCAAGTCACCGGATTCCTGCATCATGTCCCAGTTCAACAGCATCTTTGCCTGGCTCTGGCCCAAGGTGACATCTCCAACTCCTTGCTCCTGCACCTTCAGAGAAAGTTCTGTAGTGGTGGCGATGGCATGAGGGATGGGAGAAGTCAGGTTATTGCCTGCGATACTGAGATTAGATTTTTCGGTATGCTGGTAAATCACATACATTTTAAGTACTAAAATAAGAGTAATGTGGCTGGTTTAATACTGTTACTTGAGAATTTTTAAAAGCTGGAAACCTAGTGTTTTCAAAGGTTGCACTTATTTAAAAAGTATTTTACTAAAACTGCATGATCTCAAGTAATGGAGGAATATGCTCATGGACAAGGCAAGGCTTCTGTTGCAATGACAATTCTAACTATAGCTCAAAGGTTTAAAAATTTTAGATGTATACAACACTACTGTTAAACCTGATGTAGGCAATTTGCAATTCAAAGTCTGACAAGGGTCTAGTATCCAGGATATACAAAGAGTTCTTAAATCTCAACAATAAGACAAATAACCCAGTTTAAAAATGGGTAAAAGATTTGAATAGACATTTCTCCAAAGAAGATATAGAAAGTTCCAATAAGCACATGAAAATATATTTAACATCATTAATTACTAGGTAAATGAAAATTAAAACCACAATGAAATACCACTTCACATCTACTAGGATGGCTATAATAAAACACTCAAAGAATAACAAATGTTGGCAACAATATGGAGAAGTTGGAACCCTCATACACTGCTGGTGGGAATGTAAATGGTGCAGCCACAATGGAAAAAAAGTTTAGCATTCTTAAAATGTTAAACATGGTGTTACTATAATATATGTCACATCAATTCCACTCCTAGTTATCTTCCCAAAGGAAGTGAAAATGTATATCCACACCAATACTTGTATATGAATGTTAATTCATAAGAGCCAAAAAGCAGAAACAACCCAAGTGCTTGTTAACTGATGAATAGATAAATAAAATGTGTATAACCATATAATGGCATATTATTTGGCAATAAAAAAGAAATGAAGCACTAAGGCATGCTACAACATGATGAACTTCAAAAACATGCTGAGTGAGAGAAGTCAATGACATAAGACCACATATTATATAATTCCATTTATATGAAATGACCAGAGTAAGTAAATCTGTAGAGGAAGAAAGAATATTAGTGGTTGCCAGGGGGTGGGGGTTCCAGGAATGGGAGTGACAGCTAATGGGAATGGGATTTCTTTTTGGGATGATGAAAATGTTCTATAATTAGTTTAGTGGTGATGGTTGCACAACTTTGTAAATATGCTAAAAACTGTTAACTATGTACTTTAAAAGGTGTACTTTTTATGGTATGTAAATTATATCCCAATAAAACTGTTGAAAAACACCTGATCAAAGTAAGCGTGCCTAGTAATTGCCATCCACATATAGTGAAGTTAAAATTAAAAAAGTCTGGAAATGCTGTCTTTGAGGCAAAAATAGCACCATTAATAAAATAATTGCAATGACCAGATTATTTGAGGATGAAGGAATCAGAGGAAAATATTTGTGGCCAGTTTTTAATTCTCTCTTCATCATCCCCCTGGGCAGTATAGCTGTTAAAAGCACTGAGAAAATTGCACAAAAATAAACGTTTTTCAATAATGAAACCATTGATGTAATGTTATTTAAGATTGTACTTAAAATAGATTAAATAAGGGGCAGCTGGTTAGCTCAGTTGGGTAGAGCGCAGTGCTCATAACACCAAGGTTGCCGGCTCCATCCTCACATGGGCCACTGAGCTGCGCCCTCCACAACTAGATTGAAACAACTACTTGACTTGGAGCTGATGGGCCCTGGGAAAACGCACTGTTCCTCAATAAACCATTACATATATATGTATATATTTATATTAAATATATAAATAAAAGATGAAATAATATGTAATTTTCAATGTTTCAAGATTAATTCCATTTTGTTCATTTGCAAGCAGTGTTTATTTTTGAATTGCTGGTATTTTATGTTATAATTATATAAATGATGTATTAAATGATGTGCTTATCATTGATATTTGTATATATTTATTTTTGCTTATCATTAAAATAATTTTAAGCTTTGTGCTTGAAACAAATAAAGGACTTAGTTTTGCAGGACTTTATTTTATTATATGAGTAATATCTTCTTTTAAATAAAATTCTGAGATGTGAGCATGGTCACTTGACTCCAATGGGGCAGTCTCTAGGAAGATGGAGGAATTAGATGGTGAACAGGTGGAGCAGGAGCCTGGTGCAGACCCAGGTACTTACCTGTGCCTGCAGGAGCACGCAGAGTCAATGGCCCATCGGGCAAGACCTGGCTCAGCCCTCTCAGAACGTCCTCCAGGCCAGTGAGCAGGTTGCTGGCCACACAGTGCTGCTCTGAGAGGGGCAGGCTCTCCAGGTCCCCAGGGGTCTCCAAAAGCTCATCCACCTCCTGCACGAGGTTCTGAGGGAATGGGGACACAGAGCCAGTGGGCAACAGCCCAAGTGAGTTGCATGAAGACCCTGATTATTTAGCCCCAGAGAACTTTCCCTACAAACTGTTTATTTGGAAAATAACAATGGCACTTAATTCAATTCCTCAGATGATCCATGCTGTTTAGATATCAGCCACTCAGAGGTCAACTTGGGCCAGGAATTTCAAAGGATGACATAAACCCAAAGTCCAGAATCAACAATAGGGAAAGAACCTGATAAACTAGTGGACCTGAGTATCTTTAAAAGTGCTTGTAGATATCAGCGTGCCCCAGTCCTCTCTCCATCATGGGTGAGAGGCCAGTTGCAGTGTCCACTACATGGGAGCTTGGCTGCACAACTACCAAAGTGACCCAGGTCTATATGTTATTCCCATATCTTGCCACTTTCTTGGTTCTGACTTTACCTGGATGCTGTTCTTGGCCAAGGCTGGATTAAAGTCTTGAGATAACTGCTGAACTTTGTCAAAGAAGCGGGAGAGGCTCTGGGGAGAGGGGACATGTGGGTAGATCAGAGATCATGAAGAGGAGCTTGGGGAGAGGGTAAAGACACAAGATAGTGCTGGCAAGGGTCTGTCTGTTTCCTGGTCTTCCGCTGAGTCCTTGCCTACCTGGCTGTTGACTCCAGAAGGTGGTTTCCATGAGGAGAAGGGGACCTCTGTAGGGAAAAAGGGCAGGACAACCATTAGCATGTGTGTATGTGCATGCTTGTGAGTGTATGCATATGTGTGTATGCATGTGTGTACTTGTCTCTTGTGAGTGTGCATGCATGCACATATGTGACAATGTGGTTTGAATACATGCATGTGTGTGTGTGCACACGTGGGTGCTTATATGTGCACGCATGTGTATGTGTCAAGACCATATACCTTTACAGATTGTGGTGTTTAGATCATTCGGAGGCATAGACCTGGTCACCCAGTCATGGTGACAGTAGCACTTATAGCTTCCCCTCACATTGATGCAGTGGGTGGAGTTGTGGCATTGGTGTAGTCCTGAGCTGCATTCATCCACATCTGGAGACATAAAAAAGAAAATTGGTCCCTTATCCAAGCCATGCTAAGGCCTCCCTTCTAATCACCAACCCCAATCTTATTACTCTCCACCAGCTTTTCTAGGCATCAAGGAGTCCATCATAGCTGAAGTAGATACCACTTGGTGATGGCACTCAGAGCAAGGGTTGGCAAACTATGGTCCTCAGACCAAACTCACCTGCTGCATGTTCCTGTACAGTCCATGAGCTAAGAATGGTTTTTATATTTTTAAATGGCCAAAAGTATCTAAGAAAGAGCCATATTTTGTGACATATGAAAATTATATAAAATTTAACTTTCAATATCCGTAGATAAGGTTTTATTGGAATTCAGCCATGCCAATTTATTTATGCACTGTCTATAACTGCTTTCACACTATAATGGCAGAGTTGAGTAATTGTGACAGGGACCTTGAGGCCTCCAAAGCCTAAGATATTTACTACCTGGTCCTTCACAGAAGGAGTTTGATGCCCTCTACATTCCAGAAAGGGGAGCAAGACAAGAACTACGTGAGTGTGTGTGTGTGTGTGTGTGTGTGTGTGTGTGTGTGTGTGTGTGTGTGTGATCTCAGGCCAGGGCTGCTTGGTGGATGGTGAATATAGTAGAAAGAATAATGGCCTTTTCAAATATGTCTAAATTCTAATGCCTGGAATGTATGAATATGTTACCTTTTGTTCAAAAGAAATTTTGAACTTTGTGATTAAGGATATTGAGACTAAAGATTATTCTGGTTAATCTGTGTATGCCTGGTGTAATCACAAGTGTCATTTTAAGTTGGAGGGAGAAGGTCAGAGAGGAGAATAGGTGATATATATGCTTTTGGCTTTGAAGAGGGATGAAGGAACCCAGAACCAAGGAATGCAGGCAGCCTCTAGAAGCTAGAAAAGACAAGGAAGCAGTTTCTCTACTAGATCCTCTAGAAGGAACCATTTAAAACTTCTGATCTCCGGTTTCCAATAAAGATGGTGGAATAGGTAAACACTATGCTCTCCTCCTCCCATGACCACATCAAAATTACAACTAACTTACAGAACAACCATCATTGAGAATCGCCTGAAATCTAGCTGAACAGAAATCCTATAACTAAGGATATATCAGGGAAGCCATAATAAAACTGGTAGGAAAGGTGCAGATGTGAAACAGGCTAGTCCTGTAACCACATGTGGTGGTTAAAATTCAGGAGGGATATCTCAGCTGCAGAGGTTCCCCCTGAGAAGCGAGAGGTCCCAGCCCTGCACCAGGGTCCCAAGCCCAGGGTCTCAGTGCCAGGAAGAGAAGTCCCCATAACTTCTGTCTATGAAAACTAGTGGAGATTGTGGCTGAGTGAGATGGAGGGTTGCTGTTCTTAAAGGGCCCATGCACAGACTTAATCACTGGAGGACTCACTTGCTCTGAGCTCCAGCACCGGGGTAGCAGATTGAAAAGTGCAGGGACATATGGGGAGGAACTGATTTGTCTGGCCTTATGTGAGGGCTGAAGGAGCAGCTTTCTCCCAGACAGAAGTGCTGATAAGAAGCCATGTTCCATTGTTAAGCCCTCCTCCCACCCAACAAGCATGCACAGGTGGTGGCCATATCTGAGTCTCCATCAACCTGGCTAACAACCTTCACCCTGACATGGTGACTTCCTGTGGCCCCATCCCCACCCATCTCTTGAGCCCAACTAAGCCACTTCCAGCGACTTTCCCATACAAATTTCTTGTCTTGGCTCATGCTACAGACTTCCCTAAATTCTCTCAAAGGTTCACAAAACCCAAACAAGCAGCATCTGACCTAGGCATGCCTTGTATTTCTTCTTAAGCAGTCCATAGCCAGGCACTAGTGACAACAGCCTCAGTTCACAGCTTAGCCTCTCCAAGTTACCTCCAAGCCCAACACAAGTGGCAACCATCTGCAGATCACTTTGTAGCACATACCAAGTGAGTCTGGGCAGGGCACAGGCAGTCATTGACCTTGGCCTGAACCAAAGCCCCTCCCAATAGGCCCCATAACCAACACACCCAGTGTCCAGCTTCAGACCACACCCACCACCCAACCACCTCCACAAATGACACATACAAAGGACAGACTGAGCAGGCACCAGAGCCCCACTAAAGTGAATCCTGCTCAGGAGGGTCAGCCCCTGCACAACAGCTCCTCCACTGTAGTCATATCCAGTCCTTACAACCAATCAACCTGAGGGTCAATCCCTCCTATTGACATGCCAACAGCAATCAAGGCTCAACTGCAACAGGAGAGCACACACAACCCACACAAGGGGCACATCTGGAGCATCTGGCTCAGGTGAACAGGGAGACTGTGCCACTGGGACCCACAGGACACCTACCACATAAGGGCACTTTACCAAAACCAGGAGATGTAGCAGCTCTATCTAACACAGAAACAAACACAGGGAGGCAGCCAAAATGAGGAGACATAGAAACATGTTTTAAATGTAAGAACAGAACAAAATACAAAATTCTAGAAAAAGAACTAGATAAAATGGAGACAAGCAATTTACTAGATGCAGAACTCAAAACACTGGTTATAAGGATGCTCAATGATCTCAGTAAGAACTTTAACAAAGAGATAGGAAACATAAAAATGGAGATAGAAAACATAAAAAGAAAGTCAGAAATGATGAATACAATAACTGAAATTTTAAAAATACATTAGAAGGAATCAACAGTACATTAGATGAAGCAGAGGATCAAATCAGGAATTTGGAAAATAAGATAGCAGAAAATATCCAATCAGAGCAGAAAAAAAAAGCATCCAAAAAATGAGGATACTTTAAAAGGCCTCTGGGACATCAAGCATACCAACATTCACATCACAGAGGTACTGGAAGGAGGAGAAAGAGAGAGAGAGAGAGAGAGAGAGAGAGAGAGAGAGAGAGAGAGAGAGAGAGGTATTAGGAATTGAAAATTTATTTGAAAAAATAATGATGGAAAACTTCTCTAACCTGGTGAAGGAAATAGACAGACAAGTCCAGGAAGCACAAAGAATCCCAACCAAGATGAACCTAAAGAGGCCCACATCAAGACACATCATAATTAAAATGCCAAAGGGTAAGGACAAAGAGAGAATCTTAAAAGCAGCAATAAAAAATCAGTTAGTTACCTACAAGGGGGCTCCCATAAAATTGTCAGTTGATTTCTCAGCAGGCTAGAAAGGATTGGCATGAAATATTCAAAGTGAGGAATACAAAAGACCTACAACCAAGAACACTCTACCCAGCAAAGCTATCATTAAAATTGAAGGAGATAAAAAGCTTCCCAGACAAGAAAAAGCTAAAGAAATTAATCACCACCAAACCAGTATTATAAGAAATGTTAAAGGGATGTCTTTAGGAACAGAAAGAAAAAAATATGAATAATAAAATGGCAATAACTACATATGAACCAACAATTTCTTTAAATGTAAATGTAAATGAACCAAACGCTCCAATCAAAAGACATAGGGTGGCTGAATGGATAAGAAAACAAGATCCCTACATATGCTGCCTACAACAGACTCACTTCAGATAGAAAGACACACACACACACACACACACACACACACACATACACACACACACACACACACACACACACACACTGAAAGTAAAGGGATAAAAAAATATATTTTGTGAAAATGGAAACAAAACAAAAAATAAAGCTGGGTAGCGATACTTATGTCAGACAAAGTGAACTTTAAAATAAAGGCTATAACAAGAGACAAAGAAGAACCCAGTAACCCAGTAATTCCACTTCTGGGGGGTATTATCTGAAGAAACCCAAAACACTAATTTAAAAACACATACACATCCATAGGTTTATTGCAGCATTATTTACAGTAAGCAAGATATGGAAGGAACCTAAGTGTCCATCACTAGATGAATGGATAAAGAAGAAGTGGTATATATATATATATATATATATATATATATATATATAAAATAGAATATTATTCAGCCATAAAAAGAAATGAAATCTTACAATTTACAATGACATGGATGGACCTAGAGGGTATTATGCTAAGTGAAATAAGTTAGACAGAGGAAGACAAATACCATATGATTTTGCTTATATGTGGAATCTAAAGAACAAAATAAACAAACAAAACTGAAACAAACTCATAGATATGAAGAACATTTTGATGGTTGCCAGATGGGAGGGGGGTTGGGGAGATCAGTGAAAAAGGGAAAGGGATTATGAAGTACAAATGGATAGTTGCAAAATGGGCATGGAGATGTAAAGTATAACATAGGGAATATTGTCAATAATTCTGTAATAACTATGTATCACATCAGATGGATACTAGACTTATCGGAGGATCACTTCAGTCATATAAATGTCTACTCACTATGTTGCACATCTAAAACTAATATATTGTATGTCAACTGTAATAAAAAATAAAAAAATATTAAAACTTCTGACTTCCAAACTGTAAGAGAATATATTTACATTGTGTTCAACTACTAAGTTTGTGGTAATTTGTTATATCAGCAATAGGAAACAAATACAGTGATCCATTCAGGAATCTTGGAATTGCTTCCAGCCAAGTGGTGTTGGTAGAGTCCTTAGTGTTGCTGCAGGAGTCTGATGAGTAACCTGAAGCTGTGATTATCCAGCTCACCAAGCCCACAAACCCACTGACTAATGCTTTTCCTTGACCTTCTATGGCTGCAGCCACAGCTCTACCCTCCAGGGCAGCTTCAGTATTGCCCACAACCTGTGGGGTGGGTGGTAGGTCTGTTCTAAATGCCACACCCAGGGGGAAGTTATTTTGGCCTTAGGATATATCAGGCATCTCTGCTATGTCTTCACCCAGGGGAAGTTCCTTCTTAGAGAAGTTTGTGTGTGAGAAATGAGGAAGACATGTGATTGTGGTCACAGTGTTGAGTAAGTGTTGGGTGTCTTCAAATTTATTTGGCCCCAAGCTAATCTTTCTCTTTTCTAATTAAGAGACAAATTTGATAGTCTTTTGCTAACTTAGAAACCAATAGAGTGGAGCTTAAACAATATTTACTACAGCTTTTTCTGCCTGTAACCTAGGCAGTGGTGTGGGAGGAGAACCTCTTAAACTTAAGATTAGAGGTTTTTCTCCTTTAGGGATGGTGAATAGCTTATAAACAGCATAATGCTCCCAAGATTGATATTTTAAAGTGAAATACAGTAATACCTTGGTTTGTGAGCATAATTCATTCTGGAAACAAACTACTCGTATTGCAAGACATAGCTCATTTACCAAGTTAAAATGTACTAGAAATGTTTGCTCGTCTTGTGGAACACTAGCAAACCAAGTTACTCACAATCCAAGGTTTTACTGTAATTTCAAAGCAAATATATTGATGTCACATTTCTTAATGTTGAAAATTTTAACATTTTACTTTTTTCTTTGTAAATACTAAATGTCCCTTGTATCTTAGTTATTTTCAATACTTTAAAACATTATTCAAACAACTATGTAAATAATAAAAAATGGGTAGTATGAAATGATTAATGCACTGAAAAGTCATTAATTAATATAAGTCTGTTAAGCTTTTCTTAACAGTACATTGTATGATATAATGGAATATTATTCAGCAATAATAAAGAATAAAATCTTACCATTTGCAACAACATGGATGGACCTAGAAAGTATTATGCTAAAATGAAATAAGTCAGACAGAGAAAGACAAATGCTGTATGTGGAATCTAAAGAAATAAAACAAACAAATAAAACAGAAACAGACTCATAGATACAGAGAAAAATATGGTGGTTGTCAGAGGGGAGGAGGGAGGGAGATGGGTAAAAAAGGTGAAGGAGAATAAGTTCTAGTTATAAAATAAAGAAGTTATGGGGATGTACAGAACAAAGGATATGATCCATAATATCATAACTTTGTATGGTGACTAGATTTATGGTGCTGATAACATTGCAAGGTATATAAATCTAGAAACACTATGTTGTACACCTGCAACTAATACAATATTATATGTCAGCCATACTTTGATAACAGAGTGTATTGTATTTTATTTTTTAATATAAACAACTTAATATTCAGTTTTTTAAAAAAATTTCAATTTCTTTTAATAATGTCTTATAATTTTCAGTTTTTAGGTTCTTCACATCCTTTGTTAAGTTTATTCCTAGGTATTTTATTCTTTTTGTTGCAATTACAAAAAGATTTTTTTCATTTTTTATTCTAAAGTTTCATTGTTAGTATGTAGGAACACAGTGGATATGTGTACATTGATTTTGTATCCTGAAACCTTACTGTATTTGTTTATTGTTTCTAATAGTTTTTGGTGGAGTCTTTAGGGTTTCCTATATAAAGAATCCTGTCATCTGCAAAAAGTGACAATTTTACTTTTCATTTCCAATTTGGATGACTTTTATTTCTTTCTCTTGCATGATTGCGCTAAGACTTTCAAGTACTATATTGAATAATAGTGATGAGAGAAGACATTGTTGTCTTGTTCTTGATCTTAGAGGAAAAGCTTTCAATTTTTCACCATTGAGTATGCTATTAGCTGAAGGTTTGTCATACTCGTATATGGCCTTTATTATATTGAGGTACTTTCTAAAAATGGTCATATTACCTAAAGCAATATATAGATTAAATGCAATACCCATTAAAATTCCAATTATATTGTTTAAAGAAATAGAATAAAAAATCATCAGATTTATATGGAATAACAAAAGACCCCAAATAGCCAAAGAATCCTAAGAGAAAAGAACAAAGCTGGAGGTATCACACTCCCTGACTTCAATTTATGCTACAAAGTGACAACAATCAAAACAACATGGTATTGGCAGAAGAATAGACACACAGACCAATGGAACAGAACTGAGAACCCAGAAACACACACACATATATACTCATATGGGCAGATAATTTTCAACAAAGTAGTCAAAAAATACAGTGGAGAAAAGAAAGCCTCTTCCATAAATGGTGCTGAAAAATTGGAAAGCCACGTGCAAAAGAATGAAACTAGACTGATATCTCTCATTCACCATATACCAAAATTAACTCAAAATTGATCAGAGACCTAAACAAAAGACCTGGAGCAATAATTGCATAAAAAAAGCAGAGGTACTAAATTTATGGACTTTTGGTTCAGAGAGGATTTTACAAATTTGACCTCAAATGCAAGGGAAGTAAAGGCAAAAATAAATGAATGGAACTGTATCAAACTAAAAAGTTGCACAAAATCAAAACCACAATGAGATACCACCTCACACCTGTTAGAATGGCTATTATCAACAAGACAAGGAACAACAAATGTTGGAGAAGCTATGGAGAAAAAGGAACCCTTATATGCTGCTGGTGGGAGTGTAAATTGGTACAACTGCTATGAAAAACAGTATGGAGTTTCCTCAAAATTTAAAAAGAGAATTACCATATGACTCAGAAATCCTCTGGGGTGTCTACCCCCAAAATCTGAAAACATTTATCTGTAAAGATCTACAAGTTCTGACAATTACATTCGCAAACTCACCCTAGAAAAAGTGCTACATACCTCATTGCTGAATATCACTATGGTCACCTTTGAAGTACTCCCTTGGGAAGCTATGCACTGACACAAGCGCCTAGTCCACCCTTCAAAGCAATTTTGGAACTTTTTTTCTGGAATGGCTATCAGAGCTCGCATCGTATTACCCTTGACGTCCTGAATGTCATCAAAATGTCTTCCTTTTGATATTTCCTTTATCTTCAGTAAAGAAAGAAGTCATTGGGGGCCAGAACAGGTGAGTAGAGAGGGTGTTCCAATACAGTTATTTGGTTACTGGCTAAAAACTCCCTCACAGATAGTGTCATGTGAGCTGGGGCATTGTCGTGATGCAAAAGCCATGAATTGTTGGCAAAAAGTTTAGGTTGTCTAACTTTTTCACGCAGCCTTTTCAGCACTTCCAAATAGTAAACTTGGTTAACAGTTTGTCCAGTTTGTACAAATTCATAATAAATAATCCTTGTGATATCAAAAAGTGTTAGCAACATTATTGCAACAAGTTCGCTAACTTAATTGTCAGATCTTATATGTACCCTCATGGTCATTACAGTATTATTTACAGTAGCCAAGACATAAAATAATCAAAGTGTCCTTCAATAGATTATTGGATTAAAGAAGATGTAGTGTACATATACACAATGGAATACTACTCTGCCATGAGAAAAGATGTAATACTGCCATTTGCAACAACAGGGATGGGTCTTGAGATTATCATGCTAAGCAAAATAAGTCAGACAGGAAAAGTTGAAAACCATATGACTTCACTTGTATGTGGGATATAAAACTGAAAGCAACAAATGAACAAGACAAACAAACAAACAAATTATAGACACAGACAACAGTTTAGTGGTTACCAGATGGTAAGTTGGGAGGGGGGTGGTAGAAGAGAGGAAAGGGGATAAAATATATATGGTGATGGAAGAAGAACTGACTCTGAGTGGTGAACACACAAATAATTTTACTAACCAATGTTATCCCAATAAGTTTAATAAAAATTTAGAAAATACTACTATACTAAAAGGGATTTGAAAAGTTTTAAGGTTTAAATATATTGATGAAGAAATGCTTGAGATGGATAACAGGGAAGATAAGGAAGAAGAAAAGCTATTGGCATATTATAGGAACCATCCTGCAGCATGTTTTTCTAATAAAACAGAACTTGGAAAGCATTCTAATTTAGTTTATCAAGAGCTTTGTCTTTTAGCTCTATTCATAATCACCCAAAACTGGAAACAATCCAAATGTCCTTCAACAGGTGAATGGTTAAACGAAGTGTGGTTATCCATACAATGAAATATTACATAGCAATAAAAAGGAAAGCATTATTGGTACACAGAACAACATGGATGAACCTCAAAACCATTACACTTAGTGGGAGACGTGTGACTCAAACACATTGTATTATTCTATTTTTTTATATGATATTATCAGAAGACAATACTATAGGCAAAAGAAAACAGGTTTAGGGTTGCCAGGGGGTAGAAGTAAGTGTGACTATAAAGGGACAGGATGAGGGAGCATTTTAGGATAATGGATCTAATTGTTCTGGACCCTGATCGTGGTGGTGGTAACCCAAGTTTCAACATATGTTAAAACTTATAGAACTGTCCAACAAAACGAAAAAATAAGCCTTGAAAAGGCTCTAAAGCTAATAATTATATGGCTGTACCATAATATGTTAAACTATTCTCCATTAATCAATGTCATTTGTTTTCAATCTTTAACTATTGCATATTATGTTTCAATAAAGAACCTTCTAAATGTACCCTAACATGGAGTTTTAAGTCTGAACAGAAACAGGAAATGGGAGGAATGGGCCCCTAATAGACCCAGGGTGCTCTCTCCTGGGCTTTCAGACCTAGTAACGATAGTTCCAAGGCAGTTCTCAAAGTTTATAAGATGAGGTTGGGCATAAGGGGTGTCATGGGGAGACAGATGAAGGGAACATGTGACATGGGACACCACTTACCTTGACAAGTATTCTCCTTGTCACTTTTGAATTTAGTACCTCCTGAAAGGAGCTCATACCCAGAGGTGCACTCACAGTAATGACTTCCCTCCACATTGTGACAATCTGCAAAGCTCCCGCAAGACACGTATAAAGGTGGGCCACACTCGTTGATATCTGGAACACAATTGGGAACTGCTAGGAATGGCCAAAATTCTGGTTAGGATTGGTGACAACCAGAATTAAATGATTTTACCCCTTGCATTTTCTTTCTAAACAAAATGCTGTGTTCATAGGAGGAAAATGGAAAAGCAGAAAATTCAAGGAACACATAAATATTCAACCACTGAGAATGAAGTAATTTAAAAAAAAGATTTAATTGGGGAATTCGGGAAGAGAAAAGTGTTGAGGGATTGGGGAAGGGGAACATTGTGTTTTTCCAGGACCCATCAGCTCCAAGTCAAGTTGTCCTTCAATCTTAGTTGTGGAAGGCGCAAGCTCAGCTCCAAGTCCCGTCACCACATTCAATCTAGTTGCGGAGGTGCGCAGCCCACCATCCCATGCAAGAGCCAAACCAGCAACCTTTTTGTTAGGAGCACCTGCTCTCACCAGCTGAGCCATTTAGCTGCCCATTGGCAGCTCAGCTGGGGCACAGCTCACTGGCCCATGTGGGAATTGAACTGGCAACCCTGTTGCTCAGAGCTCACGCTTTTAAGCAACTGCGCCACCCAGCTGGCCCCAAAATGAAGACATTTTTTAAAAGGGGAGAATAGTATAATAAATCTACGTGTACCTATCACTCAGCTTCACCAATTATGAAGACAGCATCATTACTTTTTCATCTATTCCCCACCTCCTGTGGGGATCAGACCACAGCTTTGGTTTATGAAAATTCTTCCAGGATTTTAAAATACTTTGTGACTACTTTTTCATATCAAAATAATTTTCATGCCTATGGGATACTCCATAGTAAGAATATTTCATATTTCATCCAACTAATGACCAACTGGACATGAATCAGAATGCTGTAGTTTGAGATTGTGGGTCTAAGTTCTTCTGCTTCTTAGTTGTGTGACTTTGGATAAGTCACCTTTTAGGGCCCAAGTTTCCTCATTTATAATATGGCGCCGGCATTGACTTTCTCAAGGGGATGCTCTGAGACTCTTAGGGGACAGTGTTTGAGAGCTTTCTGAACTTCAAATTAACCCAATTTGAATTCCAGCTGTGTGACTAGCTTTATGAGCCTGAACATGTTACCTCCCAAGGTCTCAGTTTCCTTATCTATAAATTGGGGATAATAACAGTATCCACTCATTTGGTTATTATGTGGTTTAAATTAATTTTAATTTCAGACATTGTGCTTTACAAATGGCAAATAGCCATCCTGGCACAAGATTACATATGGTTATTTTCAGATGGAGGAACTAAAATTCTGGCTTAAAGGGAGTTCCCCACAAACTAGTACTAGAGTTGGTAGAACATTCCAGATCTCTGATCACTGCATGGTCCTCTCCATAGCCTCCTTTTTGTCATGCTTCTCTGTTTTTGACCGATTATAAACAACAACAAAATGTATTGGCTTCTTATCAAGTGCAAGGCAGTGTTCCTAAGTATTTTACATATATTAATTTATCTTTATATTTTTCTTATTAAGGTGAAATTCACACAGCAAAATCAATTTTAAACAAAACTATTCAGTTCTTTTTAGCACATTCACAATGTTATGTAACCACCACTTCTATTTAGTTCCAAAAAATTTTTATGTTAAGTAGTCGTTCCCCATTTCCCTCTCCCCTACTATTTGATTTCTTTCTCTATATGGATATATATATTTCTCTCTCTCTCTCTCTCTCTCTCTCTCTATATATATATATATATATAAATTTAAAGCACACAAGAACTTGATGAGTTGATATTATTATTATTTCTGATTTCAGATAAGGAAATTGAGATACAAGGAGGTGAAATGATTTGCTTGGACTCACACAGCTAGTCAGTAATACAGCTGGAATTCAGATAGTTGAGCTCTAAATTCTAAGCTCCTTGGCCATGATAACTGACTACCCTGTTTCTTGGCAACAAACCTTAGTGTTGCTTCAAGGGCTGAGAACTCTAGATGCCTCCAAATTTCCAATGACCCCTCTACCATCCCTCAGCCTCTTACCTGTACAGACCTCCAAGGGGTTGCTAAAGATGGCCTGTCCAGACAGGGAAGTGAATCCAGGATCACAGCGGCAGAAAGTGGCATCAGTACAATGGGCATTCCGTGGGCACCGACCACAGGGAGCTGTGGGAAATGGACAGTTGGGTTTGAGCTCCCTTATAAGATGCCAGCTGCCAGTTGGGAACAAGGGCATGGGGGGAGGAGAGGGAAGAGACACCTGTCTTCATACAAGTAAGAGCCCTTGTTAATAGACTCTACATTTGGGAAAGATGCAGCGTCAATTTCTCAAAGCCTAAGAAGACCATTCCCAAGAACAAGTCCTTGATAGTGTGAAGTTCCTTTCTTCAGCTTCAGGTGATGGGTGGAATTTCTTTGAACTTACTCACCTCCAGGCTTCCTGGCAATAGCTCCCAATGATATTAGCAGGACCCAGAGCCCTAAAACAGAGAGGGAGGAGGTGAATAAGGCCGAGGAATGAGATCCAAAGCACCCACAGGAATAGCTTCTGCCACCTGGTTAAGTGGCCTTTCCCCTTCTACCACCTGGGTAAGTGGCTCCATGGCTTCTAGCAGCATCCCGGTGTTTCCCTTTAGGGAGTCTCCTAGACTATCCCACAGGACCCTTTTATCTTCCAGAAGCCTCCTGAAGTATTGATAACAATAGCCTTCTAGTGCGGGGATCAAAATCCACACAGATAAAAATAACAGGCACACATATTAAATCATCTATTCCCATCCATTTTACTGGGTACATCTTATGAAGAAACTCCTTGGACCTGGCTGTCTTTATTCACATACTAATATTAGTTCTTTACAGTTCAGGATCTTTCTTCTTTTGAAGTGGCTTAAATCAATTTTCACTTCCAGGCTGGCCTGATATTACACCACTGATCTTAGAGTCATACACAACTAAATTTGAATTCGAGTTCTGCCACCATCAGCTCTGTCACTTTGCACAATCTGATCTTTATTTTTTTAAAAATTTTTACTGTTTAGTAGAAAATTCCAAACATACTAAAAAGTAGAAAAGCAGTCAACTGAACCCCTGCATATCAATTATCCTGCTATAATAATCATAAATGTATGGCCACTTTGATTTCATCTATACCTCTACTCATTCCCCTGCCCCCACTGAATTATTTGAAGACAAATTACAGGTATTATATTATTTCTCAGGATATATTCTAAGAACAAAAATATTTATGGGTAATAATAACAAAATGTATAGGTAACATCCTGAGAAATGCCAAGATGAGTCCCCAATTTCCCCTGGCTTCAAGTTCAAAACACTTTCTTCTTCAAAAGACTAGTAGAACTAAACAAATGCCCTTTTTTGTTATTGTCCTCCTGAGGAATACTACAAGAGTAAGCTTTGAATCAAGCAGAGGACACAGACATTTCTCCAAATAGACAGAGAATACTAAAATGGTTTTAACCCTCTGTCGGGTGCAATTGATCTCACAGATTCACTGCATGCAAATTTTCAAATATCTAACAGTTAACTTAGGTATCATGACTCATCACTTCCGTATCTTCTTCCTCTACCATAACCTATTGCCAGTCATCATTGTGACTTTGTACAGTAAAGATGTATTTCATAGCAGCATCTTTGTGTGCAGTGAACCTATGAGATCAGTTGTGCCTGATAGAGGGTTAATTAAAGATCCTATCAATTGGGCCGGCCGAGTGGCGTGATGGTTAAGAACTGGCTTGGGACGCCAGAGGGCCCCGGTTTGGATTCCACATATGAGGGCCAGTGACACTGCCCTCCACAGCTAAGGTGCTGAACAACAGCTCAACCTAGAGCTGGGCTGCTGTGAGTGGCCAGCGACGGCGTAGGCTGCAGCCCCTGCAGTGGGTTGCCATGGGCTACTGTATATAGCCAGCAGCCAGCATGAGCGGCCAGCAGCTACAGTGAGCAGCCATCCAGAAGCTGGCAACTGATCTGCCTCGACCGGGAAGAGCTCAATGATGGTGCCAACCTGGGCCAGTGAAGCAACGTCCTCCACAACTAGACTGAAGAACAAAACAACAGCAACTAGTCTGTTCCCCTTCCCCCAATTCTCCAGCCCTGTTCCCACCCCCCCAATTCCCCAATAAAAATCTTAAAAAAAAGATCCTATCAATTATACCTACCTGAATAAAATGCAAAATATCTGCTCCTCATTGTACAGAAACATGAAGATTGAGCAGTAGAGGAATTTTATCTTTAGCTGCGAGCCAATAATACTTCCTCTTGAAGCAAATATCTTGTGCCCTAGAAGAACTGACTTCAAAAAGAGCTGGCCGGTTGCTTTCTTCCTCTTCTCTCACCCAATTTAAACTTATCAGATCTTTCTGTTCTGCATTTTATATCCTTTGCTAGCATTACTACTGTTTGGACAGCCCACTTCTTTGGTGTTGTTTCTTAATTTCTGACGATGAAAGACTGATGCTGACTCTATTTAGAGCGTCTTTCTAAAATAGTAAATATGCTGGTTCCTAGCCAATGATACAGTCCAGTACTGTTTGTGTAACAGTAAGACTACCACCTAGCTAATATTCAGAGTACCTTCTATATCCTGGTTCTTGAGTCATACATGTTACTCTTTTTGATTCTTGCTTTTCTCTATTGCTTTCACTCCAGTGATTCCAATCAAATAAGAGTGTGTTGAGATAAGAGGGTGAGAGAATTTACAGTTACTAATTTTATCATATCAGGCACATCCCTTAAGATTTTTGTAAAATGGAAATAGTTATTCTCACCAAGGTATTCGGAGAATTCAATGAGATAAAACAGGTAAAGCACCTGACACATTACATGGTGTACTAGAAAAACCTAAAAGATAATATCCTTCCTACTTTCCTTTGTGAAAAGCAATTAATCATGCATGTTTAGTTATCTTTATTATTCCATCAACATTATATTACCTTACGAGGTCAGACAATTAAGTTTACGAACTCATCCTAGAAAAAGTGCTACATACCTCATTGCTAAATATCACTACAGTCACCTTTGAAGTACTCCTGTTGGGAAGCTATGCACCAATGCAAGCACCTAGTCCACCCTTCCTTCAAAGCAATTTTGGAACTCTTTTTCTGGAATGGCTATCAGAGCTGTTGTCATATTACCCTTGATGTCCTGAATGTCATCAAAACGTCTTCTTTTCAATATTTTCTTTATCTTTGGGTAAAGAAAGTCATTGAAGGCCAGATCAGGTGAGTAGGGAGAGCATTCCAATACCATTATATTACTGACTAAAAACTCCCTCACAGACAGTGCTGTGTGAGCTGGTGCATTGTCCTGGTGCAAGAGCCATGAATTGTTGGTGAAAAATTCAGGTTGTCTAACTGTTTCACGCAGCATTTTCAGCACTTTCAAATAGTAAACTTGGTTAACTGTTTATCCAGTTGATACAAATTCATAATGACTAATCATTCTGTGCCACGTCCAGCGTGGCTAGTAGAACGGGTTGGAGTGGGGGCGATGGAGGATTAAGAAAGACAGACAAAGAAATACTTGAAAGCGGGGGCTAGGTGGACAGCTGTCCCCTGATGGGAGAACAGTGACCCAGCCTAGTAGCCATGCTTTACTTATATAGTCTTGCTTATGTGGGGGCAGGAAAGGGGAGGAGATAGCCTTGGGCAGGGAACTTCCACGTGTCAGCTGCAGATTGTTAGCAACCAATGCATCGGACTCAAGATGTTTACTACCTAATGTAGCGAAACCACCTGCGGGTGCTGGAAACCTCCTCTGTATGCTGAGGTGCTGCGCCAGCCTTGCTAAGGACACAGCCAGAGAGTCTGCCTTGCACCAGCTTCTCCTTTACAGATCCGGATGGGCCTCTCAGTCCCCAGCACTTCTGATATAAAAGAAAAAGTTTAGCAACATAAAATTATATATTAATTTTTGCTTTTAATTTTCTTAAGTTCCTAAAATTGTTTGATTATCTCCATACCATAATCTCAAGATAAACAAGGCTAGTATTGATATCTCACTTAAATGACTTAAAAGTTTTATATCTTATTTTTATTTTAAATTGACAAGTTATACAACTTCACATTTGGCTGTTAAAAATGTTTCTTGTAACTACAGGCCAATATCTCTGATGAACATAAATGGAAAAATTCTGAATAAAATACTAGCCAAATTCAGCACTACATTAAAAGGATCAATCACCAGGATCAAATGGGATTTATCTCTGGGGTGCAGGAATGGTTTGGCATACACAACTTAATCAATAGGATACATCTGATTAATGAAAATGAAAGAAAAAATCATGCAATCATCTCAATGGATGCAGAAAAAAACCATCTGCAGATATTTAACATCCATTCGTGAAAAAAAACAACTCTTAAAAATTTGGCATAGAAGGAAAATATCTCAACACAATAAAATCCACATATGACAAGCCCACAGCCAACGTCATACTCAATGGTAAAAGGTTGAGAGCTTTTTCTTTAAGATTAGGAACAAGACTACAATGAGGTGGTCAGGCCTCTACATCAACTATGAAGTGGACTCCCCAAAAGGACATGGGTCCATCTGGCCCCCTAAGAAATGCTTACAACATTATTGATTGTATTCCTCGGACTGTCTTTTTCTATCCCTGTGGCCATATTACAATTACCCAATTGTATTGTCTCATCCCTTCCCCTTCTCCTTCATCCCCATCCCCTCCCAACTAGCAACCCTAGCAATAAAAAAAAAATGTATGCATTTTACATAGATGTTTAAATTACAACTTTCCCTGCAAATTGCAATCTCCCAAAGGATACTCTCTGGCTTAGCTTGAATATTCAGGAGACATCTATAAGATCTACATAATCAATTAATAGATAATAATGATGCTTGTAAATCAACATTTGCTAAACCTTCTTTAATTGTTAATAAAGCTTGAGAGTTTAAAAAAAAAGATTAGGAACAAGACAAGGGTGCTTACTCTTACCACTTTTATTTAACGCAGTCTTGGAGGTCCTAGCCACAGAAATTAGTTAAGGGAAAGAAATAAAATCTACCCCCAAAATTTGAAAACATTTATCTGTAAAGATATATGTATCCCTATGTTCATTTCAGTATAATTCATGGTGGCCAAGACATGGAAACAATCAAAGTTATGTGTACATATATATTATACAATGAAATATTACTTGGCCATAAGAAAAGATGAAATACTGCTATTTGTGACAACATGGATGGGTCCTGAGATTGTCATGCTAAGTGAAATGAGTCAGACAGAAAAAGTCAAGAATCATATGACTTCACTCATATGTGGGATATAAAACTGAGAGCAACAAATGAACAAGACAAACAAACAAACAAATTATAGACACAGACAACAGCTTAGTGGTTACCAGAGAGTAAGGAGGGAGGGTAGGTAGTAGAAGAGGGAAAAAGGGGTCAAATATGTGGTGATGGAAGAAGAACTGACTCTGGGTGGTGAGCACACAATGCAATATAAAGATGATGTATTATATTGGGTTGTTGGAAAAGTCATGATGCATTTTTGCAACAAAAAACAGAAAAAAATACATCATGACTTCTCCGACAATCCAATAGAAATGTACACTTGAAACCCATATAATTTACTAACAAATTTAATAAATTTAATAAAAACACCTCAAAAATAAATAAAAATAAAACATTTTGAACTATACAGTTCTTTGGCATTAAGTACTTTCTCACTGTTGTGCAACCATCACCTCTTTCTATCCCCAGAACTTCTTTGTCATCCCAAACTAAAACTTTGTACTCATTAAACACTAACTCTCCATTTCCCCTTCACCCAGTCCCTGAAAACCACCATTATACCTTCTGTCTCTAAGAATCTGAGTATTCTAGGTACCTCATATAGATGTTAATTGTATAATATATCTCCTTTTGTATCTAGCTTATTTCACTTAGCATTAATGTTTTCAAGGTACATTCATGTTATAGCATGTGTCGGAATTACATTCCTTTTAAAGGCATTCCTTTTAAAGTGGAATGATATTCCACTGTATAAACTCACTGCATTTTGTTTATCCATTCATTTGTTGATGGACGTTTGGGTTGTTTCCACATTTTGACTATTATAAATGCTGTTATGAAAATTGGTGTACAGATATCTGTTCTACTCACTGCTTTCAATTCTTTGGGTCATATAGCTAGTAGTGAAACTACTGGATCATATGATAATTCTAGTTTAAAATTTTGAGGAATTATCACACTGTTTTCTACAGTGATGGTGCCATTTTCCATTTTCATCAACAAAACTCCAGGGTTCTAATTTTATCACAACCTTGCCAACACTTATCTTCTGTTTTAGTTTTTATTTATTTTTTTAAATAATTTTTTAATTTTATAATTACAGTTGACATACAGTATAGTATTAGTTTCAGGTGTACAACATAATGAGTGGACATTTATATAACTTATAAAGTGTTCACCCCAATAAGTCTAGTACACATTGGACACCATACATAGTTACTAAAATATTTTTATTCCAGGCAATTTGCACATCTTAATCCCATCCCCTTTTTCACCATCCTCTTAATCCCCTTCCAATCTAGCAGTCATCAAGTGTTCTCTGTATCTATGAGTTTGTTTCTGTTTTGTTTGTTTGTTTATTTTGTTTTTTAGATTCCATATATAAGTGAAATCATATGGTATATGTCTTTCTCCATCTGACTTATTTCACTTAGCCTAATACAATCTAGGTCCATTGATGTTGTTGCAAATCGCAAGATTTCATTCTTTTTATGGTTGAGTAGTATTTGTATTTCATTGTATATCTGTATCATTTCTTTACCCATTTAGCTGTAGATGAATGCTGAGATTGTTTCCATATCTGGGCCATTGTAAATAATGCTGCAATTAACATATAGATGCATATGTCTTTTTGAATTAGTTTTTGGGTTTCCCTGGATAAATACACAGAAGCAGAATTGCTGGGTTTTTCTTTGTCTCTTGTTATAGCCTTTATTTTAAAGTCTATTTTGTCTAATATAATTATTGCTACCCCAACTTTTTATTTGTTTGTTTCTATTTGCATGAAATATCTTTTTCCTTCTCCTTACTTTCAGTCTTTGTGTGCCTTTTAATCTGAATGGGTCTCTTGTAGACAGCATATGTAAGGGTCTTGTTTTCTTACCCATTCAGCCACCCTATGGACTATTTAATCCATTTACATTTAAAGTAATTATTGATAGATATGTAGTTCTTGCCATTTTATTCTTTATATATTTATCTTTTCTCCTTCTCATTCTTCTTCTTCTTCTTCTTCTTCTTCTTCTTCTTCTTCTTCTTCTTCTTCTTCTTCTTCTTCTTCTTCTTCTTCT